TATCTTTTGTATGAAACTGTTTCCCTCTAATTGTGTAATTTATGAGATTTTCCTCATTCTTGGGTGTGTGGGGTTTTTACATCCCAGGCCAAGGGTATTTTACCATTAATGTTTCCAGGCACACTCAAGGAAGCTACTTTTCTCTCCAAAACATACTTTTTTTTTTCTAAATGAAGCATTAGCTATACCAGTTGTTGTTAAGTACTGTTGAGTCAGAACTCACAGCTGACCCTTCAGTGGCAATAATTACACAGATGGCCCATTTTTCAAACACAGAGCAGCCAGCTGGTAGATTCAAACTATGCACCTTTGAATTGGCACTGAAACTCCTTACTATCAAACACCAGCACTCTATCTGTACTAGTATATCAGGTTTTTCAAAGAATCAAGTACACAATTATGAGTTATGTTGATAATGCTTACTGGGTGGGTTAAGTGGTTCACACTATTTGTTTGAACTTTGTGTATTACAGACCTTCCTCCATGTATTTATTAGGATTTTCTTCACTGACTATATACTTCATGTCAACAGTTCCCTGTGATGACTAAATCTTGATTCAAAGGCTTAAGTCCCATAGGATTGTATGCATGAAGTACATTCTACTACCAAAAAATGAAGTCACAATCACATGTTAGTTAGAACTAAGGACTAATTTGAAGACTCAAGGACACATAATCAGATGAATGTTTTATCATTAACATTTATTGATGGGATGGATAAATACAGATTGAGAAAAATACTTGACAGCAAGATATCAAACTGACAGCCAGACTATAAAATGTATACATCCTTTTTAAATTTTTTTAATGTTTTTTAATTTTTTACAAAGAGCCCTTACTATAATGGTCACTTATATTCTATCCTATCATTCACAACAGCAGTAGAGTTTGCAGAAGTAACATCCAGAACCGAGGTGCCCCAAAAAGAACAGACAAACCATATGCTGAGAAAGGACTCTTAAGAGCAAGACAAAACAAAAATCTCACCACAAAAATTGTACCTGAGTGATATATATTGGTATCTTGCCTCCCCCTCTCCCTTTCCTTTTTTGCTCTTTGGTCTGATAAGAAAACGGACAATTCTAGGTGCATGGAGTAGGGCAGGGGGAGATCAGAAACAGGCTAACATTAAATTAGGCTGCTGCACTTTTTCTTTGGGTGCTTAAACCAGCCAGCACTTCTATTATGTAACAAATTCCACTATAATCTAACCATCTAGCAGTTCTTCAGCTTTTTACTAAAAACTTCCTAATAACCTAATGGGAGATATACTTTCTCTGGCTTCAATTAGCATGCTGTCAAGCATCCCTCTTCATGCTTAATATGACAATGAAAAATCTAGTTTTTCTTTTCATTCAATCATAGATACTTGCTTAAAAGGAGGAAGAGTTAACGCTGTTTCTTAGTGAGCATTCTTTTTCTAACCCTCCTCAATGCCAAGCTCTTATTAAAAACTTTAGAAACATGAAAATCGGGGGTTCACCTAAAAAATAATGATCATTCCAGACCACTAGTATTACAGTTCCATACTTGTTTCAAACTCATATCCAGGATAGAAAAGGAAACCTTGTCAGCGTGGTACAATATGCACATCTCCTAAACCACCATGCACACACACTCAGTTAAAAGCTGAGTGCTGATGAGCAGCAACACACAATCTTTAGGGAGGTATTAAAGTCACTGAAAGCTAAGTGGGACTGCAGAGGGCTTTTTTTTTCTCATCTGATTGGCTTGCATAGACTGCTCACATTCTCCTAACCCCAAGAGAATGGACTCCAACATGAAGATGTTCTAGAATCTCCTATTTTCTAGAACTAGTATCAAGTAAGTCATCAAAAGGGAAAAAAAAACACACCATTTAATCAGTTCCCAAAGGATGGGAAACACCAATATACTCAAAATCCAGCTATACTGGGGTAGGGTCTAATAGCTTTTATCCAGAAGCATGGTACAAGAGCATGTTTTCAATATGGGGAATTAGGTAGCAGAGGCTTAAGGAAACCCAGCACTGCTGTTACCATGATTTCTGTATCTTAACCCATTGCTGTTACCAACTGGAGACTAAAAGTTCCTACCAATAGTGACACAGTAATACAAAATATAAAAAGATACATTAAATTAAAACACGAAAATAAAAAAATAAAAAACTAAAATCAAAGATAAAAAAGGAAGCTGAGCTCAGATATGGAAACATGTTGAGAGATGAGTGGGAAGACTAGACTATTTTCTAAATCGAAACAAGGTAACTAGTACTTCAGCCGACTAACTTTAGTATTAATTCAGCTTTAGATTAATGCTTCACTTGAGTTACTCTAACAGCAACACAGAAATCATATTAAAAGCCCTAAACCCAATCCACAGGTATGTTTTTGCCAGCAAGAAATTAACGCAGTTTAAGAAATGAGAGTTACGGAACTTGGGCTCCAGGTCTGCCTACCACCTTATCTATTCTTGATGTCTAGGCTAAAAGGACTTTTTTTAAAAGCCATGTTTATTTGACTAACTTTAACATTTTTCATCTTTTGAATGTTGAGGGTAGGGAAGACAGTTTAGAAAACATAGATCCTTTGGAAGCCTTACTAAAGTTATGGAATCTGGACGAGATGCATGCTAGTTAATAGGCACATCTGATAACCCAAAGACGTGCAGCATCTTCATGCAGAGTTCATATGGAGGGTCATGACATATGCACAGATCTAAAAGCAAACACTGTAGGCATCTTAAGACAGTATCAGGAGGCTTTAATTTAGAAGTCTCTAAATCTATCCACATCAGTAATAATCTATTAGTGCAAAGGCCAGATTAATAGTATAAAAGCAGTTCCTAGCTTTTACAAGTAACTTGCTTCTAGTTCACTCCTGACAAAGTTCTAAGGAACTGAACTACAGAATTACTACAGAGAATTGCTTTGAGGCCTTGTGGCTATGCAGCTGTGGTGGAGTACAAGTGATTAGAAAATACATGTGATAAGGAAGAAAAAAAAAAAGCTAGAAAAGATTTCCACAATCAAGTCAGTGATCAACTCCACAGAGACAGACATAAACTAAACATGTTTGGAAAGGTCAGTGGATTTTACTCAACAAAATAGAAACAGAAAGCCTAAATTTGGTAAAAACAACACACATCTACCACAACACAGGAAATATCAAAGAGAAAGAGGAAAACATTATTTATAAAAGTGAAGTGATAATCAAGTCAAGAAGTATTACTGGCGTAAGGTCAGCAGAGAGCTTCTCATTTTACACAGCAATGGCAGGCATGCTGGATCAGCTGCACTGACGTAGGACACCAACTTCAAAACCCCCATCACCTTTTCACCCTGAGAACTTTCAGTTAAATTTTACGAATTCTTTCCTGTGTTAGGTCAGAGCATCATCATCCATCTTAATTGACTCAGCTTTTTTTCTTTCCAACCTGTTTCTGGCAAGCAGCAGCACAAACACAATCCCTGTCTTCATTATGAATTTCAATGAAAAGAATTAAACTCCTCCCCTACCCCCCAAGTATTTGGGATGAAGTAAGCTACATTAAAAACAAAAAGGTAAGTTCAATTTGCACCACAGCAAAATATATGATGAAGACCAAAAATATCCCATCAAATGATTTAAGTGGTGTTTGCAGTTAAGAGTGCGCCTTGAAAATTTTCCATGAAGATTTCCTTCCTCCTCAAAAATGTTCACTCACGTACAATTCACAAGCTTTAATCTGAAGTCATACACCAGTAGGTCTACAAAAAAATTAGGACACTGCTGTTTTCTATCAGATTATAAATAAAAGGTCTTACAACATTCATAATATAATTGAAAATACAATGTCCTAAAAATTACAAATGACAATTTTGTTTTTAGCATCCTCTGGCTCTACACCTTTCCCTGGAACCATTCCCACATATGGCCTAGGTTTTCAAAGGCAGGATAGAGACTTTTCTTCCCTTCAGAGACCCAAAGACTACTTTCACTGAAACTTTTCCAAATTTCAACTTGAAAAAAAAAGACACACCCAATTCCACAGGGCAAGGGTGGCCTTGCTTCTCTAACCTTTTCATAAAGCCATACTTTGTTTTGTACCAAAGGAGAAAAAGGTACCAAAGGAAGTTTTATAAAGGAGTTTATTCAGGCCATTGACAGCACCTGTCCAAAATAGATTTTAGAGGGTTACCATTCAATTACAACATAAATAAAGGGGGAAGTGTCATAGCAAACACATGCCTCTTTCTTCCTTTTGTTTTCAAGGCCACTCCATGTTCTCTCTAGGTAACTATTAGGAAGTAAAAACAGTGAGAGACAGGGAGGGAATGGTAAAACATGATTTTTAAACACACACACACGCGCAATAGGAGATCTCAACACTTCAAGTGGCCTGAGCCTATCTAAGAGCTCTTGGCCTAAAACCTTCCCTCCCACCCCCCTTCAGTCCCACCCTACAATCCCACCCCCTTGGGAGTTATGGCTATGTATTTCTCGTACACAGCAAAATCCCCATTCTGTCCCAATTATATATAAAAAAAAACTAAGCAGATAACTTACTTTAAATAATTTTTTTAAAAGTCTCTGAAACGATTCTGACGTTTAAATACTTCCTCTTCTGACATATTAACCCAAAGTATCCACAAATGTTTGATAAAACCACCCTCTGTATTTTAGTCCTGGCAAGAAGAGGGAAGATATCAACCCCAAGCAACCTAATTAGGAGGTGGAGGCCAAGAACAGAGAAAGTGTTCTTAATCTTTCACAGCTTCAATACATTCCCACCTCTCTAGTATCTGTAAAAAACTCTAATAAAATAGTTATGATATCTGAGGCAGTAGATTTAATAACCAAGGCCCTCTACCACACTCCCACCTACTTCTCAGTATCAATTTATTAGTCCAAAAAGTATGACATTATTTCATAAGGGAAGTAACTTTTAGTCCAGAATCAGTAGTTTGTTTTGTTTTTCTTAAAAAAGCATGTGTGTGTGTATTTTTTAACGAAGTCCTCTGCCCTGCCTCGTTTTCGTTTTTACTTAGGGAGGGGAGGGAGTGGCGGAGGGGGTTCTGATGGTAGAGGTGGAGGCCGGGGTTTGTCTGTATTGCCAGATCTGGAGATTCCACCAGCACGTGGATTCAGATATTCACCATAAGAATGAACAAATTCAAATGCAGGTGGCTGAGCAGGCTGAACACCCTGAGCACTGAGCAGAGAGTGAAGCATATTCACAGTATCTTGATAGTCTATGGTCTGGGTTGTGCTGTGACCATTGGCCCCAGTGGATCCTTTTTCCAGTTTCATATGAGGAACTCTAGTTTTACAGCTGGGCTGTGAGAAGGAAAGGCCACTTGTATCTGAGCTATGGCCAGGCAACTGGGCCACTGTAGAAAGAGAAGGGAAGGAGAAATTTATGGAAGAAGATTTAGTACTCTTGGCAATCTTTGCTGGATGATCAAACACTGCTCCTCCTCCACTCTCTTCATGTGGGGGTCTTTTCCGAGCAGAACTAGAAGAGGAGAAAGAACTAGACAAGCTATAGCTTTTGTGTGGTAAGGTGCTTGTCTGACCACTATGTTTTGGATCACCTGGACGTTTGTTCCCAGTCCCAGCTGGGAGCTGTGAGTGCGAGTGCTTGTGTGAGTGGTGATTATGATGATGGTGGTGGTTAGATGGGTGAGTCTTGTGCTTTTCTTTGTGCTCTCGGTTCTTTGTGACACTGTCATCTACAGAATTGTGCTTCTCAGATGCAGTATGGGCTTTAATGCGCATCTTTATCTCTTCTGGTTTTGAAGAGGTAACCTTTTCTCCACCTGCCACTGGGAGTCTCATTTTAAGAGCTGCTTTGTCAGCTTTTTCCAGAAACGGCCGTCCAGGGTTTTCTGAGCCCTCTATGGGCATTTTCAGAATGACTGAAGAATGGCTGTCATGGTGGGAGAGGAGGTTCTGAG